TGCCATGTCCAATTGGTCTAGAGTATTGTTTAGATCTTGTGTTTCTCTGCTGATTCTTTGCCTAGATGATCTGTCCAATATTGACAGTGGGGTGTTCAGGTCCCCTGCTATTACAGTATTAGTGTCTGTTTTTTTCTTTAGGTCTATTAGAGTTTGTTCTATAAATCTGGCTGCTCCAACATTGGGTGCGTACATATTTATGATTGTTATGTCTTCTTGATGGATCAGTCCTTTTATCATTATGTAGTGTCCCTCATTGTCTCTTTTTATGGTTTTTAGTTTAAAGTCTACTTTGTCAGATATAAGAATAGCTACTCCAGCTCGTTTTTCTTTTCTGTTTGCATGGTAAATCTTTTTCCATCCTTTCACTCTTAGTCTATGTGAGTCTTTATGGGTGAGGTGGGTCTCTTGAAGGCAGCATATAGTTGGGTCCTCCTTTTTAATCCAGTCAGCCAGTCTGTCTTTTGATTGGGGAATTTAAGCCTTTTACATTGAGTTGTTATTGAAAAGTGTTGATTTAATCCTAGCATTGTACTGATTATTTTTTGGATGTCTTAGGTGTCTTTTGTTCCTTTCTTTCTGATGTACTGTTTGTTTTCTGTATCTGTTGGTTTCCTGGGTTGTAAATAGCCTTTTTGTTTGTTTTCTCTTCATGAATGCCATTTTTATTATACTAGTGGGTTTTGATTTTTCTTGGGTTTTTATGGCAGTGATAGTTATTTTTCAGGTACCAAACCCAGTACTCCCTTGAAAATTTCTTGTATGGCTGGTCATGTGGTAGTGAACTCCCGCAGTTTTTGCTTGTCTGAGAAATATACTATTTGCCCTTCATTTTCGACTATAACATGTCTCAGAGAAGACCTTTTTGGGTTGAATACATTTGGGGATCTTTGGGCTTCCTGAATCTGAAGATCTGTGACTTTTCCCATACCTGGGAAGTTTTCTGCCACTATTTTGGTGACTATGTTTTCAATGCAATCTCCTTTTTCCTCCCCTTCTGGAATACCCATGACTTGGATATTTGAGCGCTTAAGATTGTCTGATGTCTCTCTCAGATTTTCTTCAATGCCTTTAATTCTTTTTTTTTTTTCTTTTTTCTTTTTTTTTTTTGTCTGCCTATGTTATTTCAAACAGCCCATCTTCAAGGTCAGAAGTTCTCTCTTCTACTTCTGCAAGCCTGCTGGTTAAACTCT